GTATTTTGGCTGGCTGGATGGTCTAGTTCCTAAGCATGAGAAAGAACATATTAATGAAAAGAGAATGAGAAGATGGAGAAAGGGTTGAAATGTTGAAAAGAAATGTGAATGATAGCTTGAAGGCTATGTTCTTTAATCTTTATTATGGCTATTGTAAATGGTTTTTTGATAATGACAATATGGGATTTAGGTAATGTTTTACTGTTGTAGGATGCTATTGTTTTATAATGTAACTAGTTCTAAGCATACATCTAACCTTTTAAACACATGTGGACGATCCATATAATAATGCTCAATGACAAGAGCAAATGTAGAATTAAGGATACTCTCTTTGACTTAAAAAAAAAGTTTATTAATTTGTTGTATTTTCTTTGTGATCTCCCTCAATCATTTTCTTTGCAATTTTTCTTGCCCAAAATGCCTTGTTAGTTGAAGGTTGTACAATATAATTACTCCCTCCATTTAAAAATGTAAGACATTTTTAACCAAATCTCACTCTCAATAAAGTAGTTATCTACTTTTCAACTAACCCTATCTTTCTATATTTATTCCTATTAAACACTCTACAATAAATATAAAATCATTATTAATAGGGGCACTTTTGAAAAAAGGTAATGATTACACCTCAAAAGACTTAAAATGCCTTATATTTTTGAACATTCAACTCTTCAAAAAATACCTTATATTTTTGAATTGAGGGAGTATGTCTTATTACAAAAATCACATCCGCTAATTTCAAATTCTTATTCAACTTTACTTGATTTACAATCTTATTTAAGATAGAATTAGGAATTCGTGCTGGCTAGACTTATTCAGGTTCAACATGAAAAAGCCCAAACCTAAACATGTCCAACACCCTGAAAAGCTCGAATGGACAAACCCAACCCAAATTCCTTCCGGTGGGTTGAATACCAAAATTTTATTTTTAAAATTATTTTTAATTAAATTTTTTACTTGAAAAAATTAATTATTTTATTTTATATTTTTTGGATACTTAAATGATGTATAGGATTCAATTTTTTTAAAGAAAATATGTGGGTCTTAAAATCTAAAAATTAATATTAAAATATATTTTAAATATTATTTTAAAATATCTTATATATTTAAAATAATAAAATGAAAATACAAATATTTTTAAATTTTTTAAAAAATATCTATAATAATGAACTCAAATATATGATATTTTAATATAAAAAGACCTAAAACTTAAAGAATCAATTAATATTTATTATCTTTTATATATTTTTTAAAATATAATTTTTTTATTCGTGTATTTGGGTCAAAGTCAAATTTTTTTGAGCCTTTTCAGACTAGCCCAAATAGATTTAAATATCAAAAAATTATTATTTGTTAAGCTTAGGCTTAAATTTTTTCGAGCAAATTTAGATTGATCTGTCAGACTTGATCTATTATAATGTAGCTAATCTCACATTAAATGTTACTCCAGAAGTGTGCTTTGGTCCAAGTATTTTCATCAAAAAGGTCATTGAGTCTCCAACTCTATTTGCAAGTATCAACCAGCCACACTTTTCCTTGCACTCAACTCAACATCTCTCCCTCTCATTTTTTTATAAAATGTAACATCATACCCATGCAACAAACAATACTCTTTATGAGCCTCTCGAAATTGCTTGATTGATGTACACTACATTCCCAACTTAAATTTAAACTCCTTGCACTTTTGAGCAGAGTTGTATTTCTCATATTTTGTTATTGGCTTATCCTGCTCATCATCACCTGCATACTCTTCATAGAGATCATCATCCTCTAAGTCAGAAAGCATATTTGGCATGTTCTCATTAGGTAACTCATCAGCTACAACAATCTCTGCTCCTATATATTGAAATCCTACTATAGTAGAAGCACTCCCTCTGCCTTCTACTACTTCCTCAACTACATCATCGTTAACAAATTGATGCAATACATCTTCATTCAACTCTACCTCATCACTATCCTCCTCTACCTCCAAACTTTCATTATCACTCTCTCTTTCTACTTCATCACCACTCCCCATTTCTACCTCATGATGGGGATCCATTTAAATAAAATAAAAAATACTGAAACCTGAATAGAGAAACTTATTTTCAAATAAGAGACATAAATAACTAAAAAAATGTAATAGTTCATACAAACTGGAAAAGCTAAGGGAAAATGTAAAGCCGTCATCAAAAACATGAAGAAATACTTGTGAACTTAATAACATAAATTAACTTGAGTTGATATCTTTGACAAGAAGCATCCGCGCTATCATATATGTGATCAGCTCACAGGCGATCAATCCAGCAAAGAATGATGGTGGCTCACAGGCGATCAATCCAGCAAAGAATGATGGTGAAGAGCGAAGAAGAAGAACAATGAAGGCAATTAACAAAACAGAACTAAACTCAAAAAAGAACACCCAAGAAAAATCAGGGAATAACGACGAAGAACACTTAAGGAATCAATGAAACAAAACTGAACGCAGCAAAAACAGAGAAGAACAAAGAAGAAAACCCAGCACGATGATAAAGAAAGAAAAAAATTAATTATTTGATCCTTATAGTTTTGACTTAATTGTAACTTAATTTTTGAACTTTGACTTGTTATAACTCAATCTTTAAAATTTTGATTTATTTGTAATTCAATCTCTAAATTTTGACTCACTATGACTTAATTTTTATAATTTTAACCATTTACAAATATTTGTCCTTATATCTTAAAATTAAAATTCTAAAAATTAAAATTATGTTTACATTTAGGGATTAATTTTAAATTACTAAAACTTTTAATTTGATAAAAAATTATAAAAATTTATTATGTCTAATTTTATTTTTTAAAATATAGGGATTAGTATTTTAAATGATTAAAACTATAGAAATTGAGTTACACCAAGTTAAAGTTTAGGATTGAGTTTCAACAAGTCAAAGTTCAATAATTGAGTCAAAATTATAGGAACTAAAACATTAATTTTTACTAAAGAAACCCCAGTGCAAACGTCTCCTCCAATAAAACTGAATTGAAGTTGAGCAACTTTAGGCACGAAGCCAAAACGAGTTTGGGTGTGTTTGGATTTCAATAGGAGAAAAGTGATTGCAAAACAAATTTAACTGACAAAATGTGATTATGTTTGGATAAGATTTTGTAAAATTGATTTACTGAGAAAAATATAACTTATACAAAATGGAGTTTCAAATCAGATGAAGTTTGAAAAAATTGAAAGTATTTGGTTAGCTTTTATAAAAGAAAATTTTGAAAACCAAATAAAACTTGAGAAAATTAGAGGTGTTTAGATAATTTTTTTTTTCAAAACTATTATCCTGAAGCCTATAATTGATTTTAGAGGGTATCTAAACAAGCCTTTCAAGCTTGAAGTCTTGTGCGGCAAAAATTTTAGTCCAAATCGTCCTCCACCGTGTCATGATTTAACAGTGTCAGTGAATTTAAACACAATTAATGACAGAAGGATTAACGGGCTTAATCTCAAAAAAGAATGGGCTTGATCTCAACAAATAAAATTATATGGGTCTTATTAAAAATGAATGAAAGTGCAAATTTGGTCTCATACTATTTTTTAAAAAACAACTGATAGCCTAAACTATTAAATAATACAAAATAAATTATAAACTTTAAAAAATGAAGTATCCAGTAGCCTGTCGTTAACTTTAGCTAACGGACATTATGTGAAACTCACAATAACACGTAGCATGACATGGGCACGCCACGTCAATATGATAAAGATGTAAATTTAGCCATGACTTATTTTTTTAAGGAGCATTTGGTAGCTTCTACTATAAAAAAAAAAGGATCATCCAACACATTTTCCTCAATTTTGATCAAACACTATTTATTTTCATACTTATAAGGTCCACAAACCATTAATCGCTTCAATCTTCTTGCTTTCATTCTCAATTTCAACTCGAGAATAAGAGGTTCAAAGAGTTCTTATATGAAGACATTCACGAAGACGACACTAACAAAGTATAAGAAATCATTTGTGTCTAAATTAAGCTACAATTAAGCTTCATGCACAGTAAAATGTGTAGCAAAATTAAGCTTCTACTTCATTGGTATCGTCCTTGTGAATGTTTTTAGATAAGAACTTTTTAAACATCTTCTTCTTGAGCTGATATTGAAAATGAAGGTTAGAAGATTGAAGAGATTAATGCTTTGTAGGTTTTTTAAGTATAAAAATAAACAGTGTTTGGTCAAAATTGATGGAAAGGTATTGGATGGTTTGTTTTTTTTCTAGTAAAAACTACCTAATGCTTCTTGAAAAATAATTCATATTTAAATTTGCACTTACACCATGTTGATGTGTTGTGCTCGTGTCATGCTATGTGTCATTGTGAGTCTCACATAATATCTGTCAGTTGAAGTTAACGACAAGCTATTGAATGCTTCATTTTTTAAAGTTCGTGATTTATTTTGCACCATCTGATAACTTATTTCTTAAAAAATAATATATGACTAAATTTGCTACTTTATCCATTAACAATTGAAGCAGACTATGAGAACCTACAAATGTGTTATCCCAAAGTAAATTAAAGAAAAAATAATATTAAAACTAAAAGCAATAAAAAAAATATTTTCCTGTTTTCATGTTATAAAATCAAATAATTATGCAGAATAAGCGTGTCGTTTCTACCAAACTTCAATATCTAAAATTTAATGACAAAAGAATTAAAATTAAAACCAAATAAAACTAGGTTTCTTGAGCATATGTTTTTAATTTAATATTTAAAACTTATCGTGCAGATTCTTATAAATACAAATTTCATAATTGATGTTGATATAATATAATTATAAGCAAGTATATTAATGGACGGTATCGATTATTGCCGTTAATTTATCATCATGATAACCCCAAAAAAGTGCCATTTCTTCGTTGAACCGCAGGACCATGAGAAGATCTAAATGATCGAAATATATTTTGAAAAACTTTGGGGCAGAAAAAATATGCGTGCCTGAAACCGAAGGCAAATATTTGGAATGGAGGCAAAGCTGAAAGCTGTTTTCTCCCTACAGGAGTATCAGACTAGATTTCTGTATCAATAACAAATGAGCAAAAGAAGGAAATTCAAACTAGGAATGGCTCAGTTCTAGGACACAACAAATCAGAGATATTGAAGCAGAGCGAAACGGAAAGGTTTATGAATAGATGGAAAGGAATCAAGAATTTAGTTAAACCCAGGAGCTCACCCGAATATGATTTGTTTTTTTTTTTATAGAAATTTAGTTTAATTAAAAAAGTAACGAATTTAACGGTGGTACTAGAGGCATCTGCTACTGTTTTCCATTTTCTTACCGTTTTTTCGTACAAAGCCACCCGCGCCCCTGAAACCCCCTTGTGTTTGTTTGTACCTTTGCATTGATAGATGCCTTCGTAAACCAATTCAAAGTTTAAATTTGAAAACGAAATTACAAACAAGCACCGATTTTTCCAAAGATTCGATTCCATTTCATTTTCCCAGATCCTTGAATTCAATCCCAAGTTCAGAATCCTCCATCACCTTCACTTTCGCGTTTCGCATCAATCTCTGTTTCGTTTATTCAATTTGATTATAGTCGTCCCATATTTCTTTAATCTCGAATCAATTCGAGTTTTGAATTTCTGAATATAATAGAAGCCATATATCTCTTCCGGTTGAATTTACATAATGTTAAGTACAACCTCGTTGCCTTCAGCTCTGCCAGATTCCGCCGTAGACCCCTCACCCCTTCTTCGTTACTCCGTCTCCGATCAATTGCTCCGACGGACGTCGGGGCCACTACGAAGCGCGGCGCGGTTCTTCCGGCATGCCAGCGGGCGGCGGATGATGCTCAGGGAGCCGTCGGTGCGGGTGCGGGAGAACGCGGCGGAGCAGCTGGAGGCACGTCAAAGTAACTGGGTGTTCTCGAAGCCGGTGGTGATACTGGATGTCGTTTGGAACTTGGCATTTGTGGCTAGCGGGATTGTCGTTTTGGGGCTGAGCGTTGAGGAGAAGCCTTCGGTGCCTTTGAGGGTGTGGATTGGCGGGTACTTGCTTCAAGGTGCATTTCACTGTGTGCGTGTGACTCTTAAGTACCGAAGATACATGCAAACGCAAGCACGTTCAGCGTCCGAAGGCCAGTATCAAAATGGAATTTCTTGGGAAAGAGGTGTAGATTTTAATTCTAGTTCTGGGAGTGATATTGGCGATGCAAATGATTCTGCCGACGAACAGGATCAGGAAGGATACAGGTACACTATTGCATAACTGTTGGATATTGTGACAATAAAGTGGGAAATTGAACTCCTGTTATATCTTTATATGCTACCGAGAATGTATAACTTGTAAACGATTTAATTTGAAAATTTGAATCTTGTTATTATTAGCTTACTATAATTGAGTGTTGGATATTGGATCGAGTAGAAATCACTTGATGCCAATAAAGTAGGATTTTAGATTTGAATCGTGTGAATAAAAAAACAAATCTAGGGTTGACAATGCTTGAATTTGATTTAGCCTACAGTATCAGATATGAGATAATTAATCATCACGGAAAAAAACAAAGTGTATTTTGAAATGTGTACTGAACCTTTACTGTGTCACCTTTTTCAAATATGTAAATGATGCTTTCGTTGCAGCATCAGAAAGCGCATGGATTCTGCAAATACTATGTTTTCATTCATCTGGTGGCTTCTTGGATTTTATTGGATTACTACTGGTGGCCAGAACTTGACCCAAGATGCCCCTCAGCTTTACTGGTTAGTTGGGTTGTTTAATTAGGTTCTTAGAAGTGATACTTGCTGTTCCAAAACTTCCAGACTTGTAGTGAGCAATCTAGGGCATAAAATAATGATGCCAAATAAACTACAATTCCTAGACAAGCAGTCTGATAAGTTTGGTGTCAATTTTAGGATAAGAATAGGAGTGTGTGAGAGTAGTGAAAGAAGTCTAGTGATTAAAAAATTAATTGCAACTATCCAATAGGAATGGATTAGTCTTGTGTCTTAACATGGTATGTGATTTCTTTTCGCCTTCTTCCCTTTTCTGTTCTCAATCTAGATTGCATGGTTGTGGTTTTCAGGCTTTGTATCACCTTCCTTGCTATCGACATTGTAATTGTTTTGATCTGCGTGGTTGTGGCATGCCTTGTTGGTATTGCTGTTTGCTGCTGTCTGCCATGCATACTTGCATTTTTGTCAGTGGTGGCAGATAAGGTGAATAAGCTTTTTACCTTCTTTATCTTGCTTATATTGTAATTTTTTAAGATAATGAGGAGCTACTTCTTTCCCTGTGATTAACAAACAATCCACTAATATTTTCTCTTTGGTTTATCAAAGTGGCTATTTCGGTATGAAATTTATTTCTCATACTGGATTTTAGAAGATTTCATTGGAATTAGTTTAGTCGATAATCAGTAATATTTTAAAAATTTATGCACTGGCATTCATATCACGCTCAATTTATCCTGAACCAGGGGCGCTGCTTCACAAATTCAAGGTTCTATGCATTGTCTGTTCTGATAATTTTTTTTCACTTCGGAAGCAGGAAGGGGCAACCAAGGAAGAAATCAATCAGTTGCCGAAATACAAGTTCAGAAGGGCAGATGGACATAAGCTTGATGTTGATGGTGATGATGCCCAAGCTTCATCTTGTAAAGGAATAATGACCGAATGTGACAGCGATACACCTGCGGAACATGTTCTTTCCACGGAAGACGCAGTAAGCTTCCATTTTTTCTTGATCAATTGCGAGTGGGGAGGATATGATCTGCTCTAATAATCATGCTTGAAAACACAAACACAAAAACAGTTTTTTGCTAAATGTTCTCTGAATGCTCTAGTCTCTAGTTATTGCGTTGCAGCTCAAGATTTAGGATTCTCCCTTCAGTCCTTTTATTAGGACCCGGTTAAGTGGTCTGCTTTGGTCCTTTTTGTAGAAAACTTTTAAAAATTGTCTTCTGCATTAATTACTTTCTTACAAAAATGCCCTTCATTACTTCACTTTTAATCAATTAGGTGGAAAAAAAAAACTGTGGCAAAATTAAGGTGTGAAATTTCCAGGGTTTTAATGGTGATACTGACATCATCTTGAGCTATGTCATCTGATACTTGTTGGTATATTAGATGAGACTAGATATCTTGCATACAAATAAACCAAACACAAGAATTTTGTACATTTCTTGATACCCAAGGTCCTAAAACCAACATAACTGACAACCAAATCTTCTGAAGTTGTAAAACCATATCTAAAACAATCATGAGTCATCATACAGTTTTATCCCCGATTTGTCCGTTGTCATTTGTTTTTAGAACCTTTCAGCATGTCGTGATCTGAACTCTGGTATCTTGGATACAGATAGTATTCTAGATGCTTCTGTTTGGTATGTTGTTATCTAAAATAATGACTCTGAGATACCAAAGTGTTCTCTCAGTGCGTCTGTTTTTTATGGCAATTGTCCTTCTGTCCATCATGAGCATCATAAGGTATTGTATCATATTAGACCTCATATCCTATACGAGGATTTCTGGCATGAATGATTGTGATGGATGACAGGAGTGCTGCATCTGCCTGTGTCCCTATGAGGATGGGGCTGAACTAAGAGAACTTCCATGCAGCCACCATTTTCACACGGACTGCATCGACAAGTGGTTGCACATCAATGCTAACTGCCCTCTCTGCAAGTTCAACGTTCATTCTGGAAACCATTCGCAAGTTTGAATTGGAGAAAAGGAGGCATTTTCACGTTAGATCATGTGCTTCTTTTTTTTTTTTTTTTTGTGCATGCTGTCACCAGCATCATACTGGCGGATGATTTTAATATGTAATAATAAGTATGATTCTAAAAAAAATTTAATATAATGGTTAAGGTAGGAGAGTGTACTTTTATCTCAGTTTATATCTCTAAAGTTGAGGCCTTATTGTGGAGTTTATGTGTCTAATTTAAACAAACAGCGGGGCGAGTTTCTCATGTGTTGATACGGACTAACGAATCCTTTTTTGTTTAGGGAGGAAAGGACACATATTAAAAGATAGATTCCATTACAATTATGACTTCTCTAATCTTATATTGGTCCACATCTTTTTGTTGTTTTTCTTTTTCGTTTTTGTTTTATACTCTGTCCATTTCAAATACGTAAAAGATGTGTTTTACCTATCGCACACTCATCAAGACAAATATTTAGGTAGTTAAGATTTCAATTTTACTCTTCTTTAATGCCAATAATTTGATGCAAATAGTGTTAGTATACTCCTAGGAGCATTTCAATTAAAAAAAATATTATTATCCTTAAAATTCCATAAAATGCTTTACATATTGAAAGATGGGACTTTTCATAAAATGTCTTAAATTTGAAATTAAATTCTTTCTTGATACAAGAACTAAACTCATTCCATCACTGCCATGTCCTCAAACAATGTCCCGATTTATATCACTGGATTTTCGTGTCAGTATTTTTAGTTGGTTCCATCTTATTTTTACTCTGATAGTTTCAATTTGGAAGTATATTTCTATTTCAAGATTTCCCTCTCTTTTCACCATATCTTTCTCTTTGCTTCATGTTTTAGACTTCTTTGATATTTATTGTTAAGCTCAAAACGTCAATTCATGTCCAATTTTAATGACTTCAATTTATATATATATATATATTTTATTTATTTATTTATTTATTTTTAATTTCTCAAATATACTTTTAAAATATTAAATTCAAAACATCTATATTTAATACAAACTATCTAGAAATTGAAGAAAAATCCAAATTTGAGCAGGGGAGTGTTTAGTATATTTGGGAAAGATTGATTGGATAGTTTAAGAGCGATTGAAAAGTTTAATTAAATGTATATATAAAGTAATGAAACCAAATTACGATTAACGAAGCTACAAAATAACTAACTAAAGGTGAGGGTAATCTATTCAGTATATTGAAGAATGTCTTGTAAAATTAACAAAATACCTGAAACATAAAAACATATATGAAATATAAAAGAATAATATTTATTTTCATGAAAGAGAGGCAAAAATTAGTTAGCAAGGGAATAATAGCCTGCCTAAAATTACGAAGAAATTAATGGAAAACATCGGAGACAAAGGGAAAGAAGAAGCTGAGGCTTAGTTATTGAGCAGGTCAGCAGGAAAAACTGGAGTATTATGTGAAATTATATATACACATTACACACATATATAATTTAATTATTTTTTTAAGCATCTGGACTCAACTATTCTAAATCATTTTAATAAAAAAATAGTTTATTTGTTTGGCATAGAATTCCAATATTTACCTAATTATTATGAAAATATCAACTCATATTATATGAGATTGAAGGGCCAGGTCAGGTTCATTGAAAATTCCCCAATTTACATATATAAGCACATGTTTTTTTCCAATTAATGAATATAAAAAAACCAAGTAAAATTACATGAAAAGTATTTTTCCTGGCTGAAAACATATTCCGAGAAAAGGTTTTAGTATCGATACGTTGTAACCTGACCACACGCCAAGAAAAATAAAAAAGGGACTCGATATAGTGGAGGTTTAGAGGGATGGAATTGCAACTGAACAGAAAAGACTAATCCAGATTGGTGAGAAGCCAAGTTTGACACTGGATCAAATATAAAAGGGCTGTTAATTAGTCGGTGTTAATATGCTTGTACAGTGATATGGTTTTCAAAATTTAAATTATACATGGATAAGATTTTTCATAAGTAATATAAAACGCAAGACCTTCAAAGAGTGCAGGTCTGTTTTCTCCATCATTATTCTTATATATTGTAAACAAAAATAATGAAAGCAAGTAATATCTTAAGAAATAATATGATTTGTACTTTTTTTTTTTTTTGAATACTATCAACGGTAACTTCATATTAATCAACCATAGAGCGTGCGTGCGTGTGTTGAATTTCTCAAACATGTAAGCGAAGATGATTCCACCAAACGGGAATCCCCAAAACGAGTCCATTATTTTGAACATCCATGTGATGGTGGAAGCCCCCAGACCTAGACCACATTGAACCGTCATCTTCATACTTCTTCGTCTTCACTGAGAAACTGATGACCCCACTTCTCCGTCCCTCCCAGTTCCTCAACCTGTAACTCAACACCTCCGACGAACATCCCTCTTCCTTTGGTACAACGTCCGAAATCGCTATTCTCGCCAGCCCAATGGATCGAACTACACCTTTCGACGTTTTACACTCAACTTCGAACGTAATAGACTTTGCATGTAATGGCGCCTCTACCATCAACTTGTCGTTCCATATAGCACAGTACCCTGAACCTGAGCCATCACCTCCTTGCTTCGCCATTGTCGTGGTCCAACAGTTTAATGACTCCGTCCGGACCACGACATGCATGTCCTCCGTCACCGGATTTTGACCGATACAGAGGTTGTGGCCGGATATGACGGTGACCTCCAGAGAACGTGTCTTAATTGGGTTCATTTTTGGTGAAGCCTGGCAAGAAAATGGTAGTAGAAACTGAAAGAGAGATTTGGTAGTAGAAACTGAAAGAGAGATTTGGTGATGAAAATAAAGGAAGAGGAAGGAGGATATATATATAATGGGATTTCGGGCAGAGAAACGTGAGAAAGGGACCATGAAGAAGGTGCAAATCAAAGACACGGATTTGGTTTACTCGGTCTTTGCGAGACTAGTAAGCAGGTAACGGGCGTTGACCCTGCTTTCCTAGGAGTACTCGTTCGAGCTTTCTGAGAGACTGTTCTTAAATTTCTCGGAATTTTAATTTCTTACTTATCGCATGGGCAAGAATTTTCTGGCCAAGTCTCTACTGAAATTTCAATTTCAGTCAATTATGTATTGTATAATTGATTAATCAAGTGAAAATACAGTTGTGATTTAGTAGGACGTAGACACACACGCCTACGCAAAAATATATACAGGTCAAAAGTGGGGAAAAATATTTTTAATTTGAGTAACCCTTCAGATTGAGATTTGAGGGGCAAGTAATATCCGGGTGGACCTATATATTCCTTAAATCTTATTTACAGGCTAGAGAGAATAAAAAAATTAATCTTATTCATATGGCACTTGCTAATTTTTAATATTTTGAATAAAAATATCAGTAATAAAATTTAAGAATATTCATTAAGGGTAAAGATAAAAACTTATTAAATTTTAAAAAAAATTAATAAAATTTAAGGTTTTCTTTAATTTTGGTTAAACATATTAAAAGTGATTTATAAATAGGGCTAAAAAGAGTAATCTACCAACAATAAAATTTAATTTGCCCTACATATTGAAAGCAATTAATAGAAAGATATATAAAACTAGGTTTTCTACATGTAAGATTCACATCCCAACCATTTATTTAAATAATAATAAGACATCTATGACACATACCAACTTGATTTGAATTGAATATATAAAAATTAAAATTTTTTAAAAATTTATAAAATATTTTAGTAAAAATCTAGAAAGAAATTTAAAAAAATAAAATAAAACATTCCGCCAAAAACATGAGAATTAAACAGTTTAAAATAAAAATTCTAATAAAAAAATCATCCATAATACATAAATTAATATAAAATCTCAATCCTCTCTCATTACTTACTGCTCCAAATTTTATAGTTTTAGATTGAACAATACTTGTTCGTTTTGACAAACTCTATATCCCAATCCTCGTTTAGACCTACCTAACTGTTATCTCTCCCCCTTAGGGGATGCAAATTAAAAGCCAGTTCATATTTAGCTTAGGCATCGCAAAATTGAAAGGGGCAAAGGGCCCCACTCAAACAAACGTGGGACCGCCCCTGGTGCGATGGCATATGTTTAGGAAAGACCAAGGAAGTCAAGGGAAGAATCTTGTTGCATACGTTAACAGGACATACAGTTTTTTAATATGCTCACCGACTTTTCCGTCATTACGTGTATCTGTTTTATGGCCTTGTGACTTGTGAGGCGGTGTTTCCATTGATGCTTCTTTGTAATTTTAGTTTCTTAAAATTCTAATGACGCGGGCACGCACTCTTAATTGGCCTCTTAACCTCCTTGCATCAAAATATTCTTCTCTAGACTCTACCGATAACAGTGGGATTGATCGAATTCAATGAATTCGATTTCCCGTAAATTATACGGTTCTAAGTTTAATTCTTGTTGATGAAAACAAAAGGCACTACTATTCTAGGAGAATTTATCCAAAATTTGAACTTTTAATAGTGTTCAAATGTAATAAGTAGTTGTGTTGGTAACGTAACTTCGGGGTATACATTTGTTAACAAGAAGGATATCTTTTCCCTATGTAAAACAGTATAATTTTGAAAGCTTGAAATTATGGTTTTTTTTTTTCTCCCTCGCATAACAAATCTTTTATTTAAACACTGGAAGACCGACAAAAGATTCATGCGATCATCTCCACACTCCATCTTTCGCCTTACTTTGCGACATTTTAATTAATTTGGAACTTGGCAGGTTTATTATCAAGACCGATATAATTATATATAAAAATTACATGGACCATAAGAGATTTAGATTCAGTGAATGATTAAGTTAATCACTTAATGAGTGTCTCATTTAACATAATAACAACCATTCAACTTATAATAGACGAATGGTTGTCAGAGACTTTGTAGTAGTCATGGAATATGAAATCTTAAATTTTTGGATAAAACAATGTAGGTAAGAAGTGTTTAATCATAAAATTGCTATGATTTTTTGAAGAAAAATGTTTTTTAATAATTTTTAAATATTGATAAAATTTAATAGTATAATTAAAATACTTATTGGATGACTAAATTGAAATAGGACTTTTTAAGAAGCTTGACAATAAATTAATCGGTATAATCAACTAATATGATTGTATGGTTAAAAAAAATCCAAAATAAAAATAAAAATGTGTGTGTGTATTCACGTAACACAATTTCAAAATATCTAGTGACCAATAAAAATAAAAGTGTGTGTGTGTGAAATGTTGCTCGAATATATTATAAGTGTATGTGTAAAACGTTGCTCAAATATATTATAAGGTTAGTTAGGTTAAATAACTTGAAGGACTGGCCCCGAAACTCAATAAGAGGCCACGATAGAATAAACATGCCAAAATTTCATTAGCTACAAACATTGAACCGTTGGCACAAAAAGACACGATCTTACGTAATGCCGAAATCTACGGACCTTACACGCAAGTATCTTAGTAAAATTGGTTAATTATCAAAATAGAGAGTATGGAATAAAGACTATGCCATAAATTTTGCGAAATCCTTAATTCTTCGGCAAAACATGCTAGATCTTAAGGGAGAGACTAACATCACTCTGATACTATAAATAGAAGACAAAGATACAGAAGAAAATAATCAACACTCAAACAAAGACTCGCATTTTATACTTTTTAGCCTTTAGGTTATCAGTTAATTTTTTAGTTTAGATTTGTAATTTCTCGTATTTCAATAAAATCAAACACTTATTCTACCAAAGCCTTATATTTTTTTATATCCAAATGAATTATGGTAAGGGAGCTTGGGACTTTTTTTATTATCAATTGACACTCAGTATATCTGACACACCTAGAATTTGTTGTTCACTATGAACAATATATCTATGTATATATATATATCACTAAAATTTCAAAACTCAATCCAATCCAACTTTTCAAGAAGTTATTTTTTAAGACTAGTATTTTATATATGGATAAAATTACAAAGATTAAGTTTGAGCTAACCAAATCAAAATTATACCAACTGAGTTTCATCACAGAATTAAAATTTTAAAAATAAATTTCAATTAAGTTAAGATCATATCAAATCATTACTTTTACTTAAAAATTGAAGGGTGTTTGGTTTAATTAGTCAAGAGAGTTGTTAAATTTTATAGGATACTAAGTGATAGAATAAAAAAAACAATAATTTTACTTTTAAAAAAAACAAAAACCGCAAAATGGCGGCAGGAGAGCGCCCTGCCTCCTCAGACGCGAACCAAAATTTTAGGAATATAGACCACCAAAGACATACGAGAAGTTCAACTTCAACTTCGCTCTAATAAAGTAGTAACACTTCTTCTGATATTATACGATTAATTAATTATGAAGTTACTATGAATTTAGATTGGGGAGTTCGTGGTAACACGTGGCGAGAATGAAATCGGCCCTCAACTTCAACGAAATTGAATCCCGTGTCCAATTTAGATGGAGAATACGATTGGGTTGGGCTTGAGCTTGACATTTCCAAGATTAGTTTAGTGACATGCAAGGAGAGGCCCAATACCTACAGGGATGTAACCTCATGAAGGGCTCTACATTTGATTTCTTCAAACTTTCGTTTCGTTCGGCAACTCCCGACTTCCCCTTTTTAAGATGACACCCAACTCTACACGTTTACCTTGGAGCTATGAGCATTGTGCCTTTTTTGGATCAACCAATAATGATGAGATCCCCTGAAATGTCTATCATCAATGAATAAAAATACTCCTACCAAAAAAAAATGAATAAAAAAAACTCGGCACACTTTGGAGTGTATAAATTTGTGGCCTTCTAACACGTGGTGAAAATGTTTTCTCAGTATGTGTCACTTGAATTATTTTACCCTGTAGAGTATTTCACTTCAAGCGTCTATCTTAATACGTGCACCGCATTTTTTAAATTCAATTTTATTGACGATAGTTTGAATTAGGAACGTGTCTATACACGTTACGAAAATGGCTAATAATATTTATAATTTTTAATTAATGCTGGTTGTTGTGAACTTTTGTTTCACGTTGTTTTTATTAGTAGAGAAAAGAGAAAGAAAAAGAAAGAAAGAAAGTTCATAATGAATTGATGATGGCAGAATTATTAAATGAAGACAGATTCAAAAGTGGGCCAGATTCAAGAGTTGGTGTTGTGTGGCAAATTCAAAAGTGGGCCCTTGAGCTCGTGGCCATTTTTCTGTCCTCCCATGACCCACCCGCAACAATTATACTTCATGGAAATGAATATGAAGCAACCCTTTAACAAAACAGAGAGGAAAAAATAATCATGGTTTCTGTATTACCAGACACCACACATTAAATGCAGTTCTTCCAATCGAAATTAAACTAAAATTTCGGTTGAAAGCTTTCCATTAATTCGACTTGCACTTCCACTTGCCAATCTGTGCAATCTTAGATGCATAAGCAAGGCAAGGAGTGGATTGAGTGTGACTGTTGATCCACCAACAATCAAATCGTGAGCAGTGTAACGTCCAAAAATCAAATCTTGAAACCTTGCGAGGAAGAGGGCCCCAGAACAAGAAAATTGCCAACTGTGGAGGCCATTCAGGACGAGAGGTGAATTTTGAAGGTGAAAATTCAATGATAGATTGCAAACATGATGCAGGAATGAATGGGACATCCTATATAAAAGAATCTCGAAATATTGGGCCAGAAGAGGCAATTAACCTGGAGATTCATGAAAACTACTGTTGACATCCCTGAAAATCTATTTAGTGTTATTATTATCAACTGTGATTGTCAAGCAGAGATGGAACGTGGCGTTAGGCTGGATTGAACTCGAAGCAAGAGTCACTTTCTGAGTTAGGAATTATCAGCTTCTAATGTTTCCGAAAAAACGGCACAGTTTTCACCGTCAACATCTTGTTCATCTCGGGAACTTGAATCTGAACCTGAAATATGCACTAGCATTATCTGGAATTTCAATCCTACCTGTGCAACAAGTAGTCCGCCAAGGCCCAAGTGTCTTTGAAATTAAGACTCCACTGTCGGGTTTCCATCATCATCCGCTGCAAGCCTGCACAGAAATAATACTGTCATTTCTTCCTTATCTAAAATTTATTTAATCTGTTGGCTTGATCCTTGATCCTACGATGGAGATAGGGTTTTTGATACGGTGGCTATAAATAACAAGGAGAATCACATTCAAGAATCACTTAAAAAAATTATTCACAAACAAAAATCAATACAAAATAAATTATTATTAAAATAAAAATGATACTTTTTTTTCTAAATGAGACTTATTATTAACCTTTATTTGTGAATAATTTATTTGAATAGTTCTTAAATATAATTCTCTCTAAATAATATGTATTGTACTGTCATTTCATCAAGTCATTCTCCCAACTGCAGTATCAAACTCATGAACCACTTATACTATACATGTATTGTTTTTGGAGATAGATTTATATATTAATTTTACTTTTTTTAAGTAAAAAGTGAATTTCACTCAAAAGAATCAACATTCACAAATAGGGACTAGCCCTCAAAAGACAAAAAGGCCAACAACAAAACCATCAAAAACTTAATAAAAGCTCTACAAAAATCAAGGAGCAGCATTAAGAGGGCGAATCAAGTCCTTAGCTGCAGTAGTGTAAGTGACCAGTACAAACATGGTAGGGAAGCTCAATTGGATCAAGAAGATTGTCCACAAAAATACGATCTACTCCTTATCTCTCAAAGCTTCCTGTATTGCTTCTATTTTCACTTGCTCCCAAGTTCATTCTACAACATTTGAATCTAACTACTCCCTCTATTCCTTTTTAACTATGAGAGAATTTTTAGAGTTGTAATTTTTGTTCTAATTTATTTATTATAATTTTACAGTTATGACCTTGTTTAAATAATGTAAATGCAAAAAATTGTCTTTGAAAATTAACATTATTTTTTATTAAACTTGACAATGCTTAAATTTGACCTGTCAAAATTAAATGACTAAATGAAAATAGACAGATATGATAAAGGAGCCAACTTAATCAATTTTTCTAGATAAGAGTATTACTTTGGAAGAAGAATGACCCTATTTTCTTTGGTATTGAGAAAATAGGGTTGCTTCTTGTAGAAAGCAACGGAGAGAAAATAGGGTCGTTTCTCATACAAAGTAACCGGGGCAGTAACTTGGATCAGAGTTAGATATAATTAGATTACAAGAACAATGAAATTCTGGACAAATTTGTAACATAATTGCATGCTTATTAATATTATCCCTCTATCCTGTTTGTAAGAGACTAGTTGGCAAGTCGCTCGTAGGCCCAACCCATATTATTTGGCTCTTAATAGTTCCACTCTTATTTTCTGTTCCGCAAAATTTAAGAGGCATGAAGAATCGAGGGGAGTTAATAAGGTAAGTAACGCACCTTTCTCAGTTGGCCATTCATTTACTTATGCTGTTAATGACTCCACCAAGAGCATTTTTTTAAAAAAGAAATTTAAATGATAATATAGAGTTGCACGAAAGCTATAATCGCAGGAGCAAGTTTGGATCCAAAACTTGCATTCGATGCATTTCAACCACTAAATTGTTATATTTGTGGCAATCTGACCCCTTGTTATTAGTTAAAAGTTAGTAAGTCCGTTAGTTTCAATACTTGGCTCTCTTTCGGACCGATTCCTCTCCCTCTGCGCTCACAGCGAAAAAAAAGGGGATAAGCTGCCTACAACAATATTCAGAAAAGTGGGGAAAACAAAGAAAAATATAGACGGCAGGAATTAAATGAAAGGGAAGGAGGCTGACACGTGAAACAGGCAATAGAGGATAATCCCCAAATTAAAAAATATAAAATATGTTTTATTTTTTAAAATATAATCATTATCTCTTTTTCAATAGTATTCTTATTGATAATAATTTTACATTCATTATAAAATATTTAATAAAGATAAATTAAAAAAAATAAAGTTAGCTTAAAAGTATTAAAGTCTTTTATTGAGGATAGAATTTAATTAAAAATATTTTATATTTTTCAATGAATGATGTATTTGTTTATTCATGGCATGGCAACGCGAGATTGCGAAAGGAAAGTGAGTGAAGTTTGATGGACAAACATAAATGCGACGCACAAAGACAAGAGAGCGAGTACTTGTAGGGTGATGAAGGGTGGAAACATGTGATTCATCAGGTGAAGGATGGGGCAGAAGCTGGAGCCAAAGCCCCGTGTTTCAGGTTAGGTTTTAAAATATAACAAACCCGAGTTTGCAGCTTAACTCTTTTATTAAAATATCTTATATTTTAAAATATTAAATTACTTTTAAGAATGTCTTATTATCATTATTTTTTTGCCAAAAGATGTTTGGAAATTATAAACAAATTATTTGGAAACGCATTGCATGCTCATCAATTCTGGTGAGCACCGCGCGCTCATCACCGGCATGAGGAGATTTGAATCATTTATTTCTCTTCAAATGATTTTTACCATTGATTTAAAATTATTTTTTAAAATATTTTAATATTATATTTATAAAATTAAAATATATTAAAATAATAAAAAATTATAATATTAAATATGAACTGTTATTAGAGGACAAATATTACAATACTCATCACTCCTAATAAGATTTAGATTGTCCAAATTTAAACTTTTTACTTTTGTTTTATATTTATTAAAATAAAAATTATGTAAAAAATATAAAAAATATTTAATAAAAATTTATTTATCACCAATTTGGTTAATATAGATTTAATCTAAATGACTCAACTTAAAATTATTTTTTAATAATTTTTATAAATTAACTATTCAGATTTATTTTGAACAGTAAAGATATAATTTAAAATGTCTAATTTAATATTAAAAATTTTATAATTTTAATTAATTGATCATTTAAATAAACTCTGGACGATTCATATTTAATATTATATTTTCATAATTTTTATTTTAATAAATTTAATATAAAAATATTTTAAAATTAAGTTTAAATTAATGACAGATATCATTTGAAAAAAAAATGAAAGGCCCAGATCATCTATAGGGATGATGAGCACGGCGCTCAGCAAATGCGATCCCAAATTATTTGTTTCTCTAGTCTATTTTCAACGTCGAGGCATTAGTGCATTCTCTCTGTCTCTTGCGCTTGCATTAAATGATCCCAACAGTTTCCGCACATCCTACCATGCCCCATCCTTCACGCTTCCCTGTCCGCGCCTCCATCAATCACCTCTATCAAACCCCCACTTTCCCATTCCATTATGAAATTCTAACATCATCTCCTGTAGAGCAGTCAATTATGGGCTCGATCTTTTTAAATCTGAAAAAAATTGAGAGTGAGGTTGCTATTTTAATTTTTGAAAAGATAACTCAAACTTAAAAAAAATTAACCCTGTTTAAAAATAAAAAGGTAAGCCCTTTTAAACTTTAATATATTTTTTAAAAAAATAATATTAAAAAAAATAAAAAGAAGATATCATATCACTCGAGTTCAACACTTATTCTTTAATCCAGACGGTAGACACACACATTATTATTTACTTACTTTAAACATTTTTCATTCTTTAAATACTTAGAAATTGTAATTTTAATTTATTACTTATTGCAAATAATGAGGACGAAGAAAGAAAATATGAAAAGCTTACTATATTTGCCATAAATGAGAATCCACAAGAAGAAGGATCAAATCATATTAATGTTGATGATGATGAAAATTATTAAAATTTAGCTAATAATGCTAACAACGTGTAATTGATATCGGAGTTGATTTTAAAATGTTATTTTTTCTATCAAATTTTAAATTTTTATTGTGTGAATTGATTTTATTTTATTTTCTTAAATTTAATATGATGTATAATAACTTTATTAAAATTTTAAATATATTTTTTAAAATTTTTAAATTAAAAAATTAAAAAATAATTAGGATTAAAGGCCAATCCTTCAACCTTAAAAGTCAGGATCAAGCTATTAAAAATAAAGCCTTAACATATAATCAAACTTAAAAAAACCAACCTGACCCTGACCTTGAATTCCATCATTTCACGACATCTTGCTTTTATCTCTATGCTTTTTTAATTATCTTCAACCCTTTCAACAACCTCAAACACTGAAAACATTGAATCTGTGAAAACTTCAGTAACAAACGTCATCAAATTTTATTAAAGTTTAAAAACTGAAAACACTTAAAAAAGATTAAACTGACAACAAACCTTGGATGAAACTATAAAATGTCTCATCTAAATAAAATAAAAATAAAATTATAAGGGTTTTTTATTATTTCTTTTTTTGCCCAGAAATTATAGGGGATTACACATTCAAGTGCAAGCATCCATGGTCAAAACTCTTTTCTTTTTATTGTCAAAAAATATTTACAACAGAATCTACCCCTGCGTTACATCCACAACAGAGACAAGAAGCCCTCTTCCCTGACCGTGAAACGAAGTCAGTGCAACCATCAAACCAAAATCATAACATAATCTCCATTTTCAATTTTATTTTAAACATTTTGATTGGGAAAGTGGAGCATACATTGGATCTTTCCGAGTCAACACCCGAACCACCATCCTTGCCTCGCCCTCACACTGCGTCAGCCCCTTCCCGCGCGGTTCGTTCTTGACTCAACACCCTTCCCCTCCTCGTGTCTTTCCCACGCGCCTCTATTCATCTTTCCAACACCATCCCACGCCTTTTCTCTGCCACTAAATTAAAAATTTATATTTTGAGAGGAAAAAACTTGCAGTTTACGTTTCACGTGACTCAGCTTTCGCATGGAAGCGCTGCCTTTATCTTCTGCACCGTACAAGAGATGAGGTTGTTCACCGTCTCCACCGACTCTACCGTCAGCTTCGCCGTCGGCAGGCTATTCACCAATATCTGGAACGCCACCGTCAGGAGCGACCCCCTTTCCCTGCCGCCGTTGCTGACCGACGTTTGGGACCCTCGAGACCCTGAGCCGTCCGGCACGATCACAAACCCTGAGGGAAGTAGTGCCACGTAAGCTGAATCGCCGCCGTTCATGACCAGGTGCATCGCCGGAATATCCACCGGCGCGTACACCACCAGCGCCCCAGCCGCGTCGATGCAGGTCTCCTGCAATATTAGCATGCTGCTCTGGCTCGAATTCATAGCCTGAAAGTTGCACAGAATAAAACAATAACAAAATTAGAAATTTACATAGTCAAATGCCGGGTCCCACTGCTTCTGTTTTCATCTCGTTTTCTATAAAGCTGGCGCAGAACTCAGAAGCCCAGAAGAAAAGGTACAACCGTCCTATCTATTTTGACTTCTCATCAGAGTTTTCATTTGCTTAGTTGTTAATAATTCAAAATTAAAAATTCTAATATTAATAAATTTCTCAACACATCACACAAAGGCTTTCAAGTTTTCATTACTTAAAACTTATTTTTTACCCAAACCCTGTCTCATCTCCTGCTGCCACAAGACTGTCCTCAAAGATACTTCCAAATTGGTTCATTGCCCAATTTCACCTCTCTTTTCTAACCACTGCACTACACGATGATAATGCCACTTTGACCTGATTAGGGGCATTTTTGTCATTTAAATCAGAGAGAGAGAGAGGGGGGATTTCAGTGTTCATACACTGGCTCGAAGGAGGGAGACGCAGTTGCCGTGGTCCTGGCCGCCCTTGGCAATGTGGGCCATCTCCTGCATGGGCCCACCATTCGACAGTATGTCCCACTCGCTCCGGAGCCGTTCGTCGCGGAGGAAATCGAACAGTCGCTGCGGCGACACCGGCAGCCACACCGACGTGGCAGCACTCAGCACTATCCCCGGCGGTTCCCCCGGGTCGTCGACACTCTTGCGGGTCATGACCCGGACATCCTCGCCAACGTTGCCGGCGTTGAGCTTGTTCCACTTGTGCACCGTCGAGGCACAGACGCCGGCGCAAAAGTTGGTAGTCATGCGCTGGGCCAGCTTCAGCATGCTCCGTCGCCCGCCGGCAGTAATGGCTGCCACACCAAAACCAAATCGGAAATCACCCTCATCCACATATTTAACAGTGAAGGAATGAAGGGAAGTACAGCGGGGCGTGTTACCAGAATGGTCTCGCGAAGGAACTGATGAGGACATCAAAACGGCGAGGCATTCGCATTGACGATGGAGGGTGGCGATCCAGCGTTGCGCGCCAAAACCCAAGCCTGAACTTAACAAGGGTCTATACAGCTGGTGAACCTGGCTTTCATCGTACTCTGCATGCTCCACCCATGTCACCTGCGTTTGCATGCAACATCCCACCATTCCAAATGTTTCAAACTCGGACTCCCCAAATTTACCAATGTTCTGAATCAATCCCATTCATTTTATATACTCCAACTTATATGCCATTGATATGTAAAAATTATTTATGCTCCTATTCTATAGGTTATAACCAATTAGATTAATATAGAAAATTCATTAATGGAAGTGCACAAGAACACAAAATGACCACCACCCATGGCCACACCAGGAGATTGGATCTCTTCCACTTTTTTTTAATTAAAAAAAAAAACTCTAACAAAGATGGGCATATCAAACTACATGCAAGTTGCACGTTTCCCAAAAGAAATCCTTTATTGCCTTTTCTCACTCGTACATTCACAGAAATCTCCATATTTGATCAATTTCAAGAAAGAAAGAAAATAAAAGAAATTATGAGTGTTATCCAAAAAAAATATCATGTTACTATTTCGAGAGGAGCAAAGAAGCACAATATTGGCATGATACATCTATCTATTTTTGAAATTAACAGACAACGAAGACCACACGAAAAAAAGGATAAAATATAAATCTCTAAGTATCTGATGGACTCCATGAGAGTACCTAAAAATACCGCAACAGGAAAAAGTGAAGCAGGATTTGGAGGAGCAAGGAGCAGCGGGAAGAGAGAAACCATCGAGATTTGGTATAATAGCAGTGAGGTGTAACTCATGGCAGATTCTAGTATCAGAAACAAACAAATTGGACAGTCCTGTGTTTTGACCACAATATAATATACGCACAGTGAATTGAATAATCCTTGCGGGCAGATTGCCGAGACAGCATCAAAGTGGAATAGAAACATCAAATGCATTGTTTATTCCCTCCAAGAAGTAGCTTCTCAAGATTGCAAGGCAATTTGCTCACAGAAAGGGTACATTCAAGTAATGTGTTTCTAGGTCCAGAAATTCAAGTCATGGAGGCTTCCGCGAATATAATAATGGGAAAGCCTGCCATGGATCGAAATGCAGGTGTTGAAAGTGTTCAAGTTAGGTTTGGGAACAAGAGAAGGAGAAGCATCGTATCTTAGTTGGAGATTCTTTGGGACTTAGAGGAGCATTATATATTATATACTATGCCGTTTGAATTGGGAATTAACACTGACAAAGGGGTTATATAATGAGTAGGCACTCCAGTAGGTGGGTCGCTTAAATCCATGTGCTCTTTCTTCAATATAGCTTGGAAAAGCTAAACCCCCCATGATTTTTGTCTTGTTCTATTTTTCCTCACACAGATATCCTCGACTATACTACTTGTTTTAAGAAAACAAATATAATAAAGATAAATTTAAAGACAACAATAATATTATATTTCACTTTCCAAAAGTAACAAAAATAAATATTACTATCGAAGCATAATTAACATCGCCAAAAATAAAAAAATAGAAGTCCATGTTGTAATTTGAGGGTAAACTAACAATTTGAACTGTGAAGTATTCAATCTGTTAAGTTTTGATGTTTGAAAATAGCAAGTATTTAAACTAAACTGCGCAAATAACAAACTCAAAACACGTTAATTCATTTTGTTATTTTATACCGTTTCCATTCTCTATGCCTAAAAGACACAATCAATGCCGAAGTGTTAATTTACCAAGAAGACAAGCAAGTACTTGTTGGGAAAACATGGAGTTATCAAAGCAAGTGGAAGCAGGTACAGGCACGGTTAAAATAAAAATAAGGACAAAGCAATGTCATTTTTACTGTCTAGAACGACAAAACAAAACCAAAGCGACCAGAAGTTTGGCAATTACCTTGGAGTAACCATTAGGCATGTCTTGAACTACACAGCCAGAAGGAAGCCTCCTACAGCTCACAAAAGGTGGTGCACCAGAAGTTTCCCGGACACCATCGATGGATACGTCCACAACAGCCCACACTCCATCCGCGTGCTGCTTGCAGAACCGCAGGAAATTCACCTCCCGAACCGGTACCAATGGCGATAGAACTTGCAGCTCCGCATGCATCTGCGGGCCATATACAAAGTATTTATAAACCAGCCACTCAAAAAGACATGGACTGCATAGGGTAGAGCTAATTCAAGTAGTGGAAGCTTAAATCTAGGCGTGACTCACTAGTTGGAGAGCACCGTTTCTGGTTCCATTTATTCCACTAGATATCACTTCAGTGGTGGAAGTTCTTGCAATCATGCAAGGAAACATTTCTGCCCAACGATTCTGTCACAGGATACGGCAAACCAGTTTGAGAAATTAAGATTCGAGCTTCTACATCAATAAGATTAGTTAAAACCCTTCAAGGAAATTAAGAATGTAGCCTTTGACAAGGGTGAAAAGTGAATGAGAGACTGAATAGTACAATTACCGAGTCCATTAAAGTTTCAACAAGGGCCAAGCTGTTTATGATGACCATTCCAGTCTCCCTCGAGGCTTCAGACGCGAAGCCATTAGGTTTTAAGCCAATGCAAGGAGTGAAAGTCCTTGAGTACTCGTCGAGGCTGAGGATTTCTCTCCCACCTTCCAAACTCCTGATCCATAGAGGCTCATCAGTCTGAGCCATCTTCACCAATTCATCCATGGCAGCCAAAGCAAGCTCGAGAAACATAGACCTCTCTATTGATCTATCGAGCCCGGTCAGCCCGGCGCTGGCCGGCCTCCCTGGAGGAGGATGAGGAGGAGCTCCCATGGCTAAAGGGCTAGAAATACCAATGCCCAGGTCAGGCCCCATGGGCAGTGTTGCAGGCACAGTGCTTATACCACCAAAGCCATTGCTTCCAACTCCTAGCTCCAAACTTGAGTTTGCCAACGGAGGGGCCATTGAGTTGGGATATGACGAAACTGGGCGGCCGAGGAACTTGCCGGCGAGGGCACATACCCGGTCTAATTCATCCTTTAACCGGGCGTTTTCAACCCGAAGGTGATGTTCCTCGAGTGAAATTTCTCCTATTATAGCTGGACCCCCACAGTTTGAGCAAATGGGGTTCCTCATGGCGTCCCTGATGGACATGTTCTCCGCCCTAAGCTTGTCATTCTCTTGCCTGAGCAGTGTATTCTCATGGCGTTCCAATTGGGTCTGAGACAATATCCAGAGAAATTTCAAAAATCCAACATAGTCCCAAGCAAAATCCATATCAAACAAAGGACTTGAAAAACTAACGGTACCTTCATCTGAGTTCTTCTATTCTGGAACCAGAATTTCACCTGCCTTGTCTCCAAACAAAGCCTCTTGCTCAGTTCCAATCTCTGCTTCTCGTCTGGATGAGGACACTCCTTGAACAAACTAACCCCAAAATGGAACAAAAATAGAAGCTTTATCAAAGACGAGAATAAAATTTATTTCTGGAGGAAAAAGAATAAAATAAACTATACGATTCAAGTTCTTGTATCTGTTGAGGGGTGTGTCGGTGATAGCGCTTTTTCCTGGGAGGGTGATCGGAGGCATCCTGATCATCGCCGGAAGCAACTTCCACGTTATCACTTCCAGATCTGCTTTCTTGCTCTTCTTCTCTGCTTCTTCTCCCATTAACATTCATCTCGTAATTCTCAGACATCCTATTTCCATCCCTTGGCCCATCTATACCCGTTTGCTGAAAAAATATATACACAGCCAAAAATGTCAAGAGATGAGTGAAAAACACTCAGGCAAAAAAGCCGAAGGAGAAGATCTCACAAGGGCAAGTGAGAGGCCTGGAGAGTTGAACATGGCTTTAGCAGTGGGAGTGGAAGTGAGAAGTCGAGGCTGTGAGATTGCACCGGAGGGCATTCTAGACGAATCGTTGCTGCTGTAGGAGGGATTATCCGGAAAACCCACAAAACTCATCCAAGAAAAAGCTTCTTTGATTCTTCTTCCACCAGCTCGATGCTTATTCTTCTTCAACACAAAATTACGCACAGATTCCCAAGTAAGCTGCAATTGCAGTGCTTTGTTCCACGATTAGCTTCCAGCTCGGAAATTTTCAAACCAAAATGTGAACTGGCTCTCCTCCAAATCTGCCTCGTAAATATATACACTCAAGAGGGCCAACAACAGCGAACCTCCAAGCCTATAAAAATAGTTAATATTAAAAGACAGGGAGAGATATAGGAGGAGACAAAAGGATAAAGCCCAATGTCTCGCCTCTAAGAAAAGTCCTTTTGTTTTTTATATTCGAAAAGAGAAACAAGGGAAGTCGATCCTTCTCTAGCCCGCGCTGTAGGGAGGGTAAGGATTGATATGAAAAAACAGGAACCCTAGTCATCGGAGAGCGTCATCGCTTTCTTTTGATGCATGCTTGACTATGGTAAGGTTTCAGGAGGATAAAAAAGAAAGCAGAGGAAAAAAAAAACGATAGAAAAATGAAACGTCCGTAGATTTAGACAGAGAAAGGACAGAAGAGAGAAGAGAAGAGAGAGAGTGAGAAAGGAGGGAAAAAGGTAAAGATAAAATGGAACATGTGGAGTCTTCGAAGCCTTTCAAATATAAGGATCCAAAAAGGTTCGGTTGACTCTTGCAATCTCCTCAATCTCTCTCTCTCTCTCTCTCTCGTTCATCTCCTTGTCCTTCTCCCTGCTACTGTAGATGAGTTGGGATCTGAAAATTGCTGCGATAGGCCTTTTTAATACTCTGTTTTAACTTTTTGGGTGGCAGATACCCCAAGAAAATGAAGTCACAAATTGAAATCCCCTCTTTCTGTGAATCATTGCCCGTTGATTCTCCCAATCAACGCTCGAATCAGCTAAGGGGGGGACAAATTATTGCCAGGATACATTGTCTTTTTTCTTCTCCTTTTCCTTCCTTCCTTCCAAATAAAAAAATAAAAAATTGGGATTCACTGCTTTGACTTCTTGCAAATGAAATTCAATTTGATATTTTAATATTTCAATTTATCAGATTTCAACCTTGCTAAAATGATCTTCTATAGTTTACTACTTCATTTCAACCTTAATACTAGTACTATAACGTGTCTAATAAATGAATGGTAAAATATGATGCAAAAAAAGTCTATAATTCATATCATTGAGCGAGTGTTTTCTTAAATTATCAATCTAAAATATACAAATGGTGTGCATGGGCTGGGTTAGGCCGAGCTTCATTCCAATCCCGATACCTCTAAGGAGCCCAACCCAACTAGCTCTAGCAAGATCAAGTTAATTGAGGCTATCAAACCACTTGGGCAATCCTAATTAAATGTGGTTTGAATTTTTAAAATGATAAAGTTATCATTATTTTTTAAAAGTATCATCCAATTAAAATTAATCTACTTTATTTACCTTCAATTTCTTTCCTATACAATCTCTCCCTACAATATAATTAATAAAGACATTTAGCCAACAGGGCCTAATTCTAGTGAAAGGAACTAATCCTTCAAGACATGGTGAATCAAGATTTAAATACATGTTGAAAAATATGTTTATATTTAATATACAATCATACTTTGAATAGGATTGACTTTAATAGGAGAATGTATATGAGCAATTAAAAAAGATATTTTACAGAAAAGAAGAATTTAGTGTTATTGACTTTTTATAAAATATCCTACATTTTAAATTAACATTGGCGGTAAAAAATTATATCCTGTATTGTAGACTAGATGGAGCATTTGAGACGAATAAGTTCGCTTTGAAAATTTCTTAGTTATGAAAGAGGATGGAGTGTTGATTCGTTTTGTAAGTGTCTTAGTCCGTCAAAATATCGATCTAGTTATTGGCTTATTGCTAATATGTCCAAGCTTGTTCTCAATGGCCCTTAGTTTTGTCAGTTTCTTTATAGCCTTTTTTACTTTTTTTTTTCAAAATATGAATATGAATATGAATAATGACACGATCCCTTTAAAGACCTAACCTAGTGACAAATTTAAAATTAACACGGATTTTAACAAAACATTAAAATAATATAAACTAATTATAAAAGTGTCAATAAACATTCTAAATCCTAAACTTTATGTAAATAACATCCTAAATTATAAATGTTTGAAATGAACAAAAAACTCTTAAACTTCTAAATTTCAAATACTTAAAACCTCACCGTTAAATTGAAAAAAATGGCTATTACTTTTATAGTTGTAGGGCACATTCATACGTTAATGTGATATCATCTTGGCCCTTAAAAAAATGGTAGTTTTCTCCAACTTAATTGTCAAATTTAAAATGCTTGAAATTTAGAAGTTGATGAGAGGTTTTACACATTTCAAGAGTTTAGAATTCAAAATGTTATTCACGTAATAACTTAAGGTCTATGATGCTTATTAATCCACTTGAAACTATAATGGCCTTCACTATCTATTTGCATAATTCTTCTATCTACTTTGAATGGTCAATAGTTTCTACCATATTAGCTCAATCTTCTACATAGTCACATCCATAATGTTTGAACCTAAAATGATACTCTCACCCAATTCAGTCCAACACAAAGGCAATCGATACTTCCTCCTATAAAGTGCCTTATATAGAATATTTGAATGCTGGAGTAAAAACTGCTGTTATAGGTGAACTCAGCCAAAGGCAAATGGTTGTCATGGACTGTGTGTTTACATTTGTCTTCATGATATAAGCTTCGTTTAGTTAGTATTATCCTAATGGACTATATGTCTACATTTATTTTCATGGTTTTGACTATGTTTAATTACTTACCCACATAGACTGTGTGTGCATGTTTGTCTTTGTGGCGTGAGTTATTTACCCTCATAGATAATGTGTTCATCTTTATTATCTATTCTGTAAAGCACTCAAATTTTTTGTTTTTAATTAATTTGTGAGATTTATACCTCATTGATTTTATTTAGTAAATGTTTCTATTATTATTTATTGAAACTATTGATTTCTCAAGATCAAATGACAAGGTTGCTTTGTTAATGTAAATTTGATGGATCAGTATTTCTGAGGTTTTCTAAAATCTTCAAAACCCCAAGTTTGGTTATTCTAGCACATTGAGAGATTTCCTCTTTAATTTATTTATAACTACTTGAATATGTTCATTCTTATTATTTCAAATTTTACCATTGAAATGTTACTCACTGGTAAACTATTTTTGATCTTAGACATTATAAATGATGTTATGCCTCCAGTTGACGATTGAGTGGCTATCTTGCAACTTGAAGTGAAGAAGTTATTAACTAGCCTTGATATAAGAATTTAAATTATAAATTCATATTTTGTATATCTTATTCCAAGCACTCCATGTAAGTTATAGTTAGGACTTTCATATGTATATTATGCATGATTTGTCTGATAGAAGGAGAAAATCTCCCTGTTGATGCTATTTTATACCCAAAAATGCTAGAGTGGAAATTTCAGGAGGCTATTATTTTAGAGGAAGTTTTGTCAAACTTTTTACAAAAGTATTAAATCTTTTATTCTTATTACTTGTATTGAAAATGGTTCGAGTGGTTGTCAAATATCTTAATGATTTAGAAATTAGAGTGTTTTTTTTTAGTTGAGACTTTCAAAATATGGGCTTTGTTTTTATATTTCACAATGACATCTTATTTTCAATATGTGATAGATTTTAACTTCTAATTTTTAGGATTAGTATAACTCTTGGGATGAGATTCTTCAATAAAATTCTTGTTAAAGCTCAAAATTTAAGGAAATTACTTGGACTAATTAACGTGGTTCAAGATCAAATGGCACCCATTCAAACTTAGAACTACCACCCAAGAGGTTTGATTGGTACGCATACATCCTGATTAAATATGTCAAAAAAAAAAAACGTACTATTCCTAAAATCTGTCATCCCACGCATCAAGCTCCATGCAATGTTCAAGAGATGTAACCCCCGCCCCACGCGAGCAAAATATAAAAACTTAAAATTATATTTTTTTAATATATAATATACATTGTTGCTTGTGAATTAAGGTATATTTGATTGGAAGTTTTTGAATGAGAGGGGAGGGGAGCTACTCCCCTTCTCTTATTTGGTTAGTGTCTGATAAAAGAAGAGAAGAAAAGTCCCTTGTTTGGTTAAAAAATTAAAGGGGGGAGGAGAGGAGAAAATAACTAAAATTAATTTAAACATTTATTTTAAAAATCCTAAACTATATTTGATGTTGAAAGATTATGTATTATCTTTCTTTCTCTCTTTCTTATAATAAAATAAATTTTATCACCTTACAAAAATTAATATATAATTTTTTTATGTATAAAATTTTAATATTTTTCATTAGACTCACTAATAAAATATAATATTAATGTATTTGTTCTTCAATTTTTTTTATTAATATAAGTTCATATTCTTAAAATAAAAACTTAGTAAATTATAATATAACAATTTTTTCAAAGTGAAAAATAAAAATCAAGTTAAACTTGATAACGTGATATCCTATTTTTATTTAAAAATATTTTAAAATTTAATTTAAAAAAATTAATAATTAAATTATGTTTTGAGGAAAATTGATGCTAATGATTTTGGGTAACTTTTTTATGTGAAGAAAAGCCGAATATTAAAGTCCATTATGAGTTTTACTAAGTAGAGAAGAGAGGGTTCAAATTAGGTCATGAGAAAAATAATATACCCAAAATTAAGCTATAGCCATTGAAGAGAAAAACAGAGAGAAAACTATTTTCGCATATGCATAAAGCCCAGAAATAGTACACACATGTAATTTATGTGTTGCAAGCTTGAGTGATGACTTGGAGTATTGAATGTAATATATTATGAATTATTATGAAATCATTAATTATTATGTAATTATAAATTATTGTGGAATCATGAATTATTCTTGAATCATGAATTGTTGTTATTATGAAATCATGAATTATTGAGAAATATGTGATTTGCATATGTGGTAAAAATATTGAGAATATGAGACTAGAATAATCATAAATGTGATATACATGTATGATATAGATGGGTGGGAATTCACCATGTGATTTAGGAGAGTATATTTAAGTCCACATGACACGGACAATATCTAGGTAGTGCTTAGAGTTGTTTAGCTGTGGCATCGACTCTGATAGTAGTTTGATATAGTTTTAACTTAGCGATGATACTCACCCCCACTGATAATTATATGACCCAATGATACTCACTTTAGGAGTGGGTATGTGCATTGAGAATTATATGACACTTTATAGGCGAGAGAGTCAATGGTCCAAGTTTGGAGAGTAATGACTTTTGGCCAGTGTAACATCCTGATGTTTATATAATAAAAAAATTGTGGAATTTAGGTTTTGAGGAAAAAATGATAATAATAGGAATTTATATTATTTGAGATTATTTAGAAATAATATTATGGTTCGGTATTTAATTATGAATTTAAAAATTTAAATTTAAAACCACAATATTTAGTTAAGATATAATACATAAATAATTTTTTATTGTGTGTTAAAAAAAAGAGAAGGTAGAAGGAACAAAAAAAAAGGGGGGTGGAAGGTTGTTATTTCTAAGTCCCACATTGGTTAGATGAGGGAAGAGAAGAGGTGCCTTCATGTATAAAAAGGAGGGGGTGTGTGCATTAGGAAGCATGAGAGGCTAAGATGTAATTTAG